TAAAATCCAAAACAAAAATATTGTTGCCAATTTAGCCGTGTCTTAGAAAACAGAGTTGGGCAAAGGCTAAATCTGCAGATTATCGGTAGATTACAGTAAAGTTTATATGTAAAGTACAACGGCCACTAGATTAATAGGTTACCGACTTTAATGGCTAATGAAATAACGAGTTTTATCTCTTATCTCTTCTTCTTTTTTTGGAACAAGAGTTTACGCGTTGTAGGCTTTAGGTGTAAACTGCTTGGCTAACAGCCAGATCTCATGTCCCTTATCTTTGACAGAAATGCATTGGCTTGTAAAAAATATATATATACACATATATATAACGCTACGTTTTATTGAAAACGTCAAAAGTCTTCTCTTGTATTTTAAGTTCAATACGTACATGAAATCGTAATTCTTTAGGCTAATGTGTGCTTAAATCGCAGCTAAAGCTTTCTCACTTCCGCCCACTATGTTGGTTTATTTTGGAGCCGGAAGGTCACAGGGACAAGACAGGCACCGAGAACAAATTCAACATTTTTACCACAAATGTTACTGTTACATGCTTGACACAAACGCCGATATAAATTATATATTTTCTGGAACTCATTTTAGTGACATATGACTATATTCCTACACGCACGTCACACACTGATAAGGAAGCAAACATTTGACAGCGCAACGGTCAATGGACATCTGACGCTCCCGTTTCTCCAGCTCGCTGCCTGATTGAGTCTATTACAAATGACAGTTGAGGGAATGTTGGGGAGCGGACAGAGCGTTTTATCTTTAAATATATTTCGTGTTTGTTTCTCACCTGAATGAGGACTTTGATGTACATGAGGGGATGGGAGAGGACGGTGAGTCCTGATCCCAAAAGAACTTGGCCACACATGTCCGCCATCTTTGGAGAACCAGTGGAGGCCGGAAGCGCTTCACCTTCTTCTTCCGGTCGTCGCTCTAAACGTTTTCTGTACTTCATATATTCCGTATAGTAATACCGCCCCCTGTTTGTTTTCTTTTCCATTGCCTCCTGGCGAGTTAAAGTCCACAAATAAGTCCACACTGTGTTGTTTTTCTTATATTTTGATAAACGATGCCTATTTTATTCTTGCAGTATTTATAGATGCTTTCCTCAATCGTTTTCACATTCAAAAAGGTTAAGTTGGCATAGGCCAGAGTTCTGCAACTTTCAACACCAAAAAGATCCAATTTTATAATTTTACAACCAAATAAAATAAACTAACAGCTAAATATTTTAAATACGAGTTTTTAAAGTTTATTAAATATTGTAATCATACCACAAACTTCTATAAAAGTATGTAAGAAAGACATTCTTATGTGCAAGGCCAACTATATTCAGCCTGCCCTTAAATTTTTTCTTTCTGATTTTTTGCTACAGAAAAATAGATAATCTGTGTTACAACCAAGACCTGTTTTCTGCCTAGTTCCTGGTCTCTGTAAATACTACAGACTTGTATTTACTTGTATTACACCTGTTACCTGAGTGATGCATTTGAGTTCTTACCTGTACAGGCATGCCAGAGACAAAGTACTTAAGAATAAATGACAAAATAAGAAACAAAAATGATGTCGCTGTGGATAAATGAAAGCCATCAAAGACATTTCTGTCAACAATTTTTTTCCTTTCAGTTTATTTGTTTGTTTTTTTAATAGAGGAAAAAATGTTTGTTGATAGGCAACATTCAGTTTTATTAGCTAGAATTGTAAATGATGACCATGCAAAGTGCTTTGGGTTTTCCATGTACCTATTGACAGTATGGCTGCCAGGGTGCGACAGGTGAACTACCAAGACTCAACCTTAAATGAATCACCAGCTGAATCAAGGTTCTTAATTGTTCTATACATGAATAAAAGAGCAGATCAAAGCAGACGTCTTGTTTTAAATAACTTTATTGATTGGTCATCAAATGACATTGAGATAACAACAGATCTTCAGACTGGTTTCCTGTGTAGCAGAAAGATGAAAACAGTTCAGTGATGGCAGTGTTGGCATCATGGTTGCATGATTATTATGTAGTCATTTACTCACAGCACTTGTAGAGAGTGTTGAGCCTGGCGATATCGTTGCGGCTCATCTCCCTAGCAGTGCCAAAGGACACGTTGGCATTAGGGATGGGGACCATGGTGGGCTGGCCGTTCTTAGAGAAGGCAGTCCTGAAAGAGACAGAACACTTAGACCCTTCCACACAAACCAATATACTAGTATACTGTGTAAAGGTTACTCGCAGCCACGTCTTACCTGTGGTACTGCATCACAGAGTTGTAGTCGTAGGGAGTTCCCTGGTTGATCTTCCTGAAGTTGTGCCCTATTCCTGAACAGTAATCAGAAAAGGTCAGCTTTTATTTGCTTTGCATTATGGATGTTTCCGTAGATACAGAACTCGTGTACTTTTAGATAGACTACTTTATTGAAAACTGTTTCAAACTGTCAAGTATTTCAGATCCCTGTGCTTCAACATCTTTTTGCATATAGTATAAATGCAGTGGCAGCTGCAAGGAGGTAACTTTACATTTTAAAAAAAAGGACAGCAGTGGCTGTGACCTTTGGCTGTGGTAGTGTGTGACTGTCGACCGGCGGCTTCTCCTGGTCAGACGAACGTGTCAGAAAGCATCGCATAATGTCATGTTATATGACGCATTGTTACATTACGTTAACCACCTGTTAACGACGGGGAGGAACCGAGCGAGTAAAAGTTGAATACCTGGTATTGTCGGTATCGGTTAAAAAAAGACAGGCACCTTTGTTTTGTTTTTTGATTGTTTTTTTGCGTGCTGACATCGACTTGTTCTTCTTGGAGACAGCTTTGGTAGCAGTGTAGCATATACTAATATACTAATAATCTATGATTCAAATTTCCATGCTGAAGCAATCCCCCTACATTGAAAACATTATATTATATTATATATATTTACTCATATGAAGTGAACATACTTTATAAAAATATTACATGTTGGGGTACTGATTAAATACATGAAGCTCTTTTGCAAAAATTCAAAATTCAATTCTTACAATATATGGTCACTACTACACACTGTAGAAATATATTTATATGTAAGTGCATACATACTGTAGTTGATCTATGAACTTAAATGAAACAGCAGATTGATGTTCCTTTTTCAGTTTACATAAAAAAAAGTAAATAGATTCTAATGTTAAAAGATTAAAGACTAACATTCTGTGAACAGCATTGCCGCCAGGAGGTGACAGAAAAACTACCATGACTGACTCTGTTGTTGTTTTATTCAACGTGCAAAGTTCTTCAGTGATTTGACCTTAAATAAAATAAACAACAACAAAAAAAAACAAACAAACAAAGCACACTGCTGGATCTAAATAACTTTATTAGACTAGAAAACCTTGAAAGTCACGAGGACAATGTCAGATCTCTAGACTGGTTCCTGTGAAACAGAGATGAAAACAGTTCAGTGACAGTGGAATTGGCATCACACTCACAGGTTTATCGAAAATGTCTTTACTCACAGCACTTGTAGAGAGTGTTGAGCCTGGCGATATCGTTGCGGCTCATCTCCCTAGCAGTGCCAAAGGACACGTTGGCATTAGGGATGGGGACCATGGTGGGCTGGCCGTTCTTAGAGAAGGCAGTCCTGAAAGAGACAGAACACTTAGACCCTTCCACACAAACCCATATACGAGTATACTGTGTAATTACAGGCAGCATTTTCTCACCTGTGGTACTGCATCACAGAGTTGTAGTCGTAGGGAGTTCCCTGGTTGAGGGTGGCGATCTTGTTGAAGTTGTGCTCCATTCCTAAACAGTAAACAGAAAAAGTTAATTTGCTTTGAATTATGGATGTTTTCGTACATGAAAGATCAAGAAGTTCAAGGAAATAAAATAACATGAGTTTGTGATATAATGTGATTTTCTTGGTTTTTACCAGACACAACGTTGTGCAGCAGGACTCTGATGTGGTTGTCTCTGTCAGAGCGGGTCTGCTCGTGGTTGAATCCCAGAGCGTGGAGCAGCTCATGCTGGACAGTGCCGTGGTAAAGACATCCTGAACGGGCCAGGGACACCACCTGCTTACCACCACGACGGCCAACGTAAGACCAGCAGCTACAAAGACACAGCATTAAGTACAGATCACTGAGGTTATACGAGCAATTTTACTGAATCATTTCCTTCAGTTCTATTTTTTTTTACCCATTCTGAGACTCAATCTGGAGCCAGTCACGGTCAGAGCTTCTGCTGGGCCTGAAGCGGATGCAGGAGAAGGAGGTGAAGGACTCCAGTCCACGGGTGATGATGGACTTTTCGCGAGAGGCTGGTGGAAAGACACCAGACAAAAGTTGTCTTCAAAGTTGAAGCATATCTTCAAACATATCTGGTATCTTTCTAAAGCCAGTGGTCAGAGTGGTACTCACAGAAGTGGTTGGTGATGTAGTAAGGAATGTAGACCTTTCCGTCAGTGTACTTTCCCCATTTGCAGCCGCGGCTGGTGCAAGGGTCAGCGTTTTTCTCAGCTTCACTGGGAATGGCGATGTCTCCTTCGATCAGTTCAGGCTCATTGTCAAAACGAGCTGCACAAAAAATACATACATATATATATTCAAAGTCAAAGCATGAACAGATGAACAGTGTGACCTGAAAGAATGCAACTCACTCAGATGACTGTTGGCTCTTTCCAGAAGTTCAGAGACAGAAAGATCCTCAGGAATTTCCTCTGCATGGCAGAATGAATAACAACAAAACATCATTTTAATGTAAAAGCCAACTTCACTATTCTGTGTATGTTGGTACAGTAGGAATGATTGTACACACCTCCCTGTCAGTCGTAAAGAAGGGAAGCATGAAGGAAAAACAAATCTACATGTTAGCAAAGTCATGTCCAAAATAAATCACAAATTATTTTGTAAAATTATATTTTTGTTTCACAGATGTAACAATAACCATGTTTTGGCTATTGTAGAGCGACTTACGTTTTAATTTTCCCTAAACTTCAACAACTTAAGTAATTTGAATGTTTTGCTTTTTGTTAAAAACATTTATACTGTATGTATGTATATATATATATAACTAGATCTGTTTTGTCCCTTTTTTAGATACATTTCCATCCTATTTTCACAAGCATTACTAATGTTTTACTAACAACATTTATAGACTTTTTTTTAATCTCATTTAACAGTTAAACAATAAAAATGGCAAGTAAACATTATTTAATTTTAAAGCTATTTTAGCTGTTTGGACAAGTTTTGTCTTTTAAATAAACAATAAATTATTATTATTGTACAATAGGTCTTACCTGATTATCAGCCAAACAGTAGGCAGACAGAAACAGCAGAGCCAGAGCTGAGAATCTGAAAACGCGAGCCATCCTGACAGACCTGCAGAAAATAAACATTTGAGCTCAGATGTCTTCTCAAAGGAAGAAAACAGAACCATATACACAGACTGAGCTCCGTACAGTGAGATACTCACCTTTGTCTCACCAGTGTGCTTTTGGTGTTTGACATTGGGTTTTTATACGTGTTCAGGAGTAAAAAAAAAGTGCAAATCAGCATAACTGACAGACTTATCAGCCCAAAAATGTACAGTCTGGAATATCGACAAACATTTCCATGGTGGGTGAGAATGAGACAGGTGTTCTTGTTTTTTTTTTCCACCACCATATTGTGCAATAAAATGCTGGATAAATATGTTGAAGGCCACTTCTTGTGCAATAAAATGCTGGATAAATATGTGGAAGGCCACTTCTATGTTATTTAGTTTTTTTTTTGGTTTAACTATGGAAGGGGCTATGTTAATGTAATCCAGGACAGTTATTCAGTGCAGATAAAAATAATAAGTGATAATCACATTTGCTACTTTAATAAAAAAACAAAGAGATTGAGACTATGGCTGTTGGCAGCAGTAACTTGGCAGAAACACCTCTTTCATGCATTTTGGATTTAACGTGACTGCGGTCCTGTATGGAACTAATATACTGGAGATACACACATTTTACTACTATAGACAAATAGAACGCCTCCATCATCCACAACAGTGTCAACAACGGTGTTTTAGTCACTTTGTAAAAGCGTGTGCAATTGAGAGATGCTTCATTAAGGAAAGGAAGGAAGGAAGGAAAGTATACTGACACAGCTGATATATGTGACACAGCACACCACTGCACACAACCAAATGGGACCTCTGCTTTTAACCCATCACCAAAGTGAACAGTGGGCAGCTTTAGGTAGTGTGTGGTAATTTGGTAGCTGGTGGACTGGAACCTGAAGACTTTTGGATCCAAGTCCACTTCCTTAACCACTAAGCCACCACTGCCCCAGATGGCTATTAGATTAGAGCTTCTTTCAACGGACGTGGACAAACACTTCGCTTTGGGACATAATGTACACTTCACAGGTACATTCTGAACTTTTACCTCTAGGAGACTGAAGGAATGCCTGTATTTCCGTTTTGAAAACGTCAACTTTCCCTCCAGATTCGCCATTGCGGCCGTTTACCTCCGGTAGTTTGGGTGTGTGAGCTAGTTGTGTGGTCTGTGCTTTGCTGCCACTAATTGGCTTACCTTGAAAGCTTACTCTGCCCTAGCCAATCATCATCAATTATGCTGTCGTCTCGTCCCTCCCTCCTTCCCCACTAAAAATCAGCTCTGTGGCAGAGAGTCAAGCGACAATAGCTTCAATGAGCAGCTTTAAAATAATAACGTAACTTATTTTATTGTTGATGATGGAAATGGCAATTAGTTTAATTTCCCGATACTGAAAAAAATAACACTTTAATTTTTACTAGTGCTAAAGACTCATCAATGAGCATTTCCCGATACTGAAAAAAATAACACTGTTATTTTTACTTGTGCTTAAGACTCATTAATGCGCTCTGTACACAGGGAATCATTCATTTTAAACGTAATTACCAACAGAGTTCTAACCGTGTCATAGGTTCATCGTTTGTTCCGCAATACATCCCCCGGGGGCAGTGATGAGTTTATTTTGAGGTTATTTCTGGACCAAGGTCTGTTTATCAGACAGTGACAAACATGGCAACGTTGAAGGGTGTTAAGATAATGTTAATATTAATAATGTTAGATAATGTCTTGTCCATTGTGGCAGGTGGGCAGATAATTCTTCATCTTGGTTCTGCTCTATCTGTTGTTGTTCCTGTCGTTATCCTGTTCATTTCCTGAACAAATATAACTTATACTGCTCAACACTGCCCCTATAATTTTCAGTAGAACTGCTCTCTTTTATGCGCTACACCATTGTTTCCCAAAGACTGGGTCGCGACCCTCAGGTGGGTCACAAGGATTCTTTTGGGGGTCATTTCGCATCATGTTTCTCAGCAGTTTACAAATAATGAACAAGTTTGGGAAACACTGCTCTACACCAGTAGTTCCCTAACTGGGTTGGTCTGTAATTTCCCTGCCTAGAATCAATAAAGTACATCTATCTACGTATCTATCCATCTAAATAACTACACAACCCGAACTCCCTACACCTTGGGAGAAAAACACAACAAGCACACACACACACACACATGCCCTGGTTGAGGGTGGCTTTTTTCCTGAAGTTGTGCTCCATTCCTAACAAGGTTGTGCTTTACTTTTTTCAGTTCATAAGGAAAAGACATCTAAAGTCATAGAGCTGTGAAAAGATCCCATGATGCAGCATGTTCATCCGTTCACCATTTCATTGGAGGAAATGAAAAGTGCTTAGAGAAACCCCAATAAACCATAGTACAACCACTCAAAGTTGTAGTTCTTTGTATTTTGTGCATCTACAGCAGTATTTTCCAACCTTTCGTGAGCCACAGCATATATTTTACAATGACTGTAATCCAGTGGGTGATTTTTACACAGTACTGTGAGTACACAGAGCTGATACAGAGAACACTAAACTTTGGTTTGAAGAAATGTTTTATTCATCAACAACATTATTAGACAGCCACTGATGGTGTAGCAGATGCCTTCAGATCTTCAGATTCACTTCTATTAAATGGATAAAGTAAATAGTTTAGTGTCAGGACTTCATGTGAAATACATGCATGTTTGTTCCAAGTATACTTGTTTACTCACAGCACTTGTAGAGAGTGTTGAGTCTGGCGATGTCATAGCGGCTCATCTCCCTGGCAGTGCCGAAGGAAACATTGGCATCAGGGTATGGGACCATGGTGGGCTGGCCGTTCTTAGAGAAGGCAGTCCTGAAAAAGACAGAACACTTAGACCCTTCCACACAAACCAATATACTAGTATACTGTGTAAAGGTGACACGCTGCCACTTCTCACCTGTGGTACTGCATGACAGAGTTGTAGTCGTAGGGAGTTCCCTGGTTGAGGGTGGCGATCTTGTTGAAGTTGTGCTCCATTCCTGCAACAAATGGAGAACCAACATGATCTTGGAGGGAGGCCAGTCATTGATGAACTTTGAATTTCCCTGTCCTGTAACTTTTAGTGGACGACGCAAAGAGACACTTTACCAGAGATAACGTTGTGCAGCAGGACTCTGATGTGGTTGTCTCTGTCAGAGCGGGTCTGCTCGTGGTTGAATCCCAGAGCGTGGAGCAGCTCATGCTGGACAGTGCCGTGGTAAAGACATCCTGAACGGGCCAGGGACACAATCTGGCCACCACCAGTACGGCCAACGTAAGACCAGCAGCTGCAGAGACACGGACATAGTTTAGGGATCATTGAGGTTTGAAGACATATTTTTACTCCATGGTTGTTTCATTCTTTAGTTCTTCCCTGTGTAACTTATCGTCTGGACTTACCCTATAAAACAACACTGACTTCTTCAGTTTTACCTCAGAAAAAAACGTTTTTATTATCATATTTGATGGTTTAAATAAAAAAAAACTGCTTTTGAAATGCCTTGATAAGCAATTTGTGTCTGTCTGTGTGTTTTTCGATCACTGTTGATTGCTTTTACTTGGTTTTATAATATGAATAATCTCCCAAGTACCTGGGGCAGTATGTAGCCCAGTAGAAATAGGATAGGACTTGTGTTTGAAGGACAACAAGTTTAAATCCCACCTAGGCGACTGTGGTGCATTGAGCAGCACCAAAATCTGCTGTATGTGTCTGTATCAGTACACTGACCGATCATACCAGATCATCTAACCTTCTGCTAATACTGCTACAACTGTAATCTTCTTACATACCCATCACGAGACTCAATCTGGAGCCATTCACGGTCACTGCTCATGGTGGGCCTGAAGCGGATGCAGGAGAAGGAGCTGAAGGACTCCAGTCCACGGACGATGATATCACGCTCACGACTCGCTGTCGGAGTCAGAATTCAACATTTGTCCGTCAGCCGTTGGGAAAAGGTCACAGATGATGCGGTCACAGCTGATACTCACAGTAGTGGTTGGCGATGTAGTAAGGAATGTACACCTTTCCGTCACTGTACTTCAGCCACATGCAGCCACGGCTGGTGCAGGGGTCGGCGTTCTTCTCTGCTTCATTGCTGACGGCGATGTCCCCTTCAACCAGTTCGGGCACGTTGTCGGAGCGCACTGAAACAATTATCACCTAGACTTTTAATTTCATGTTGACGCACCACTGATGGTCATGAGAGTACTGGAGGCCGGAACTTGTCCTGCCACTGTTGCTACTCACCCAGATGACTGTTGGCTCTTTCCAGCAGCTCGGAGACAGAAAGATCTGTACAACAAAATCGAAATGAAAAAACGTCCACCTGTGTAAAAACTTATCGCTGCCTACTGTGTTGATGTTGAAGTCATAAGTCTGATCTACATACCTGCCTACAAGCAGAAGAATGGAGATGCATGTGGAAGAAACAAATATGAAAACACAACAATTTGGAGCGCACTGAAACAATTATCACCTAGACTTTTAATTTCATGTTGACGCACCACTGATGGTCATGAGAGTACTGGAGGCCGGAACTTGTCCTGCCACTGTTGCTACTCACCCAGATGACTGTTGGCTCTTTCCAGCAGCTCGGAGACAGAAAGATCTGTACAACAAAATCGAAATGAAAAAATGTCCACCTGTGTAAAAACCCATCGCTGCCTACTGTGTTGATGTTGAAGTCATAAGTCTGATCTACATACCTGCCTACAAGCAGAAGAATGGAGATGCATGTGGAAGAAAAAAATATGAAAACACAACAATTTAAGAGTTAATAGATGTTCTAAAAAAAACGTGGTGAAGGCTAAAGTACTGGACAGACTGTCTTACCTCATCAGCCCAACAGTAGGCAGACAGAAGCAACAGAGCCACCGCTGAGAACTTAAAAATGCCAGCCATGTTGACAAACCTGCAGGGAGAAGACAGAGTTTAACTTCAAATCCCTTCCAGAAGACAGAGGAGTTGTTTGAGACTGTTGAGGAACTCACCTTGGATTCCTGTGTGTGAGTGATATTTTTCACAGCTTTTTATATGTGCTCATTTTGACATCAAGACCAAATATGGACAATGAACTGGGAGGTGACATGTCCATATCAAAATAAGAAATTCCATGGAATCCCTGGTGGGAAAAGAGACATGTGTTTTCAGTGAAAAGGGTTTGTGTGAGTCTGCTCATAGTATTGGGAAGTAATAAAGTAGAAAAATAACAACTCTTTATTTATGAAAATAACAAAGCTATGTCTCTGCATATCCTCCACTTAAGTCTTAACTCTGCTGTAAACAGTTTCTCTGTAGAATTCTGGAAAATGTTTTTGACACCTGATTGATATGTGACTCATTTCAGAGAAGAATTTTAATTCTGCAGTGAAGGATGCAGAAACCAAACACTTTTCATTGATTGTAAAAAATAATAAGTTAAATCCTGTCTACTGTTGATTCCTACACCACTGAGGTTCCCTTCAACAAAACATCTCAACCCAGCAGTAATGGACACATCACATCAATGATTGGCTTCACATGAGCTTCATCGCCTGCTTTGGATTTGATTATTTTTATAGTTTCATAAATTGTCAACTATAAACTGCATGAGGCATATTAGGGCATATAAGGCAAACCTCAAATAAAAGTCACTAAATAGCTTTATCAACAACTGTGCCGTGTTTGTTCACCTGTCTGTTTTCTCAGCAGTCACAGCCACGTGACGGCCAGTCCTGCAGTAATGGGTGCAACTTTGGTTTAGGCTGATTTATGTTTTACTGACACAAGGTGACTTCAAGTTGGACCTGAAGTCACAACGCTCCACCATATTATAACATTTTTTGTTGGTCCCTGAGGCATTTTAGCTACAATGTGCGATAAACATCAAAAAGGTTGGTAACATTCTAAGACAAACATGGTTATTTCAATAGGCTGTTGTCACTGATGGTTCTTTAGGCTTTGTTTCATACTGTCTTCTGCTTTCAAGGAAACAACGTGCAGCACTATAGTTTCATTAAACACACTCAATATTGGCCAAACAAGAGACGTCAACATGTTCAGAACAAAGGCTCGTCTTCGGGTGTTTTATTTAACTGCTCGTGAATTTCATCATTCGAACTAGTGACAGATAAAAACAGGTGTGAAAATAATAAGTCTACAGGCTGTTTTTTCTTCTTTCTGGAAATATGTAGAAAGTTTGGGGGTTTGTTTTTTATTCTTCATGGTATATATATCTATAGCTTCCATGTGATACATTTAAATTTAAAAATGTAAATGTAATTGTTGGTTGTTTCTCATTTATAATAAGTCCAATGTAAATGTAATTGTTGGTTGTTTCTAATTTATAATAAGTTATGTATATTTACAGTCATTTTGTGTAATTCCTGTCAGTTAGTCCACAGCAGTGGTTCTTAATTATTTGCTGTATGAGTTGCTGCCACCTAGTGGCTGAAGGCTTGTTATCATTCAAGCATTAACAGCAGTGGTACACTTTTGTCCTTGGGAGCTCCTCACGCCCCCCGTGGCACCTCACTGGAGAGGGAGAGCAGCAGCCAGGAGCAGACGTCACCCATGCGAGGGGACACCGACCGCGACAACTGCGTGGACACGGAGGTTCATATTCGTTACGTTTCTCGTGTCCAAAAGAGCATCAAAATGTACCACTGGAGTCGGCGTGTCCCATTCCGAGGGGAACCCACAGACACACAGACCTGTATTACACGCATTACTTATATTTCAAATCCACGGGGAGACGAAGCAGAGGGATGAAAGAGCCACATGTGCACCAGACTATATTGCCCCTTTAAAAAAAAGACCGCGAAAATGAGATGTCGTTGACAAACGTCTCAAATCAGTTAATGAGTATTTGCACAGCAACAGGTTGGTTGAAGCCTTTAATTCAGGATTTCAAATCGCACCATAACAGACATTAGCTGTATACGCCGCCCTTAAATGTTTTAGGAGGATATGTTAGATTCAACGTTTATTTTGAACCTTTAAAAAAATGATTTGTAAATCTATGCTATACAACTGAACTCCAGCGATAAAATGAAGGCAAGTCAGAGGACTCTTTAATTTCTATGTCAGCTTGCTGGGGGAGGGATGGTTCTGCTCCCTCCCCTTCTCTTGTCTCCTCTCGTCTCTGTCTCACCTCACCTCACTAAGGAGCTGCAGCTGTCGCCTGAACTACTGCTTCACGTCTCTTACCCTAACGCAGTTCGACACGCCTGAACTACTGCTTCACGTCTCTTCGCAGTTCGATAGGACGACAAACCAGCAGGTAAGTAAAAGAAACAAACAAACAGACAGACGGGGGTTAGACGCCGGTTGTATCGCCCCCACGGGGCATCACGGATCCATTTACAGACCAGTGTTCAGTCAGTTTGAAGAGGCTGCTGCTGCTGCTGATGTGGCGGCTGTTTGTAGCTGTGTGTGTGTGTGTGTGTGTGTGTGTGTTTTACTCCACATGGCTCAGGTTTCCTTCACTGTTCTTTCTGCGAGAACTTTTGATAGTGTTTTCTCTTCTCACTGACACACAGTCTTTTCCGACTGTACTTGACTTGTACTTCGGTGCAGAGACAGCTCCCCTCAGCAGGGGAGTGAAGACTACAGTACCTCCAACGAGTTCACTCGCTCCACCATTTTTATTTATTTATTTATTTATTTAACATGTGTTTTTTAGCTACCATTCTTGTTTGTCCAAAACCTGACATTTCTAAAAAAAAAAAAAAAGGTATCTAATTGTAAAACGTTAAAAGCATATCTTTGACTAAGCCCTCACATCAATCGTGCTGTTGAATCTATGGAAGGAAAATATATATATTTAACAATACTTGAGCTCTTAATGTTATGATTTATTTATATACTTTCAGGTTCAATGCACACTATTTTACTAATACATGGACTAGAGGCTCACTGCTCCTGGTCCACGTAACCTGGTACAGTTCTCTACTAACAGAAACCAAATGAGTTTATGACTTCTGTGTTGTTTCTGTTTGTGCTTTGACTCCAAAGTACCAGTTAAAAGTGTTTGTATCATAATTTTTGTTTAAGGCTTTTTAAACATCGGTGTGTTTTCAGAGAAACACACACACCATTTTGTGCGGTGTGTGTGTTCCCTCCACTCTGGCCTCTGTTGTATTTCCATTCGTTGGAAGTGAATCATGTTCAGAGCTACAGTCACTGTCAGACACTCTCCACCAGTTTGTCTGCATTCTGTCACACTGTCAAGTGGGTTCACTCACTCACCCACTCACTCACTCACTCACTCACTCACTCACTCACACACTCACACACACGCACACACGCACACTTACTCACCCAGGGACTGTGCTGATGCATGTGTTTAGAACCTGTTTACCCCGTCGAGTGGAATTGCCCCGCAGGTAATTGTGGGTTTAAAACAGTTTCAGTTGCTCACATTTCTTTTCTTTTCTTTTTTTGGTGAACTCCCAGTTCAGACTCCATGTGAGCAGGACCAGTTCTGAACCAGGAGCAGCTCTAAATCTGGGGCCTGTGAGTCCAAGAACAAGAACCACTACTGTTGAAAGAACATTTATAGAAAGATTATCTGGATTTTTGTAGCATGTAGCATGTTTTTCATATCAAACCCAAAATTAGGATAGAAGACATGTTAGATATGTAGAATTCCACTCATTTAGGAAATTATGACCTTTGTTTGAGCTGGCATTTATGTTGAGGGTCAGAAATGTCAAGGTCTTCAAGGTCAGCATCACTGTGCTAACGTGCTACATAAGACCCGCTAACAGTAGGGTGATTTATGATTTGTTTTATTTGTGAATAGCAGCGGTTGGTATTGTAGCTCCCGTTAAGGACGTAGAGGCCAAATTAAGCAGCTTATATTTAGACTGTGAGGAGTAATAGAGAATAATTCTAAAAATAATAGTAATAACAGAATAGGTAAAATGTGAACAACTGACAGTTTTAATGTAGTGACAACAAAAATATCACATTTACAGTGATTAGGAAAAATAATAGAGTTCTTTCTATTTATAAAATGAATAAAGCAAAATAAACTTCAATGAACAGAGATTGATTTTGCAGTTCCCAATTTCTTTTCTCAGTGCTTGATGTATTATGAGATTTCTTAATGATGTCGTTCTAATCTAATTTACATCCCCAAATTAGCCATAGTGTGTGTGTGTGTTCAGTCACTTATCTAGATCTTCCTTGATTTCCGGGTGAATTCCACTGTGAAATATCCTGCTGTAGCCGGCCAGTCTACTCACAGGCATCTCTACAGCGTCCTCTGGGGGCTGTTTCGCCATCAAAATGTAGACTTCTTGCGGTCAGTCACGGAGCCCAACAAAAACTTGTCTGCACATATTTAAGAGAAAAACTTTATTAATACATTAGGAATAATTTCATTGAATTGAGGTTAAAGTGTTCCGTTAGGCAACTGGGTGTGAAATTTTCTCAAGAAGAGGTTTCTTCAGTTCTAACTGATAGTGAGGAGTACAGAAACAGTAAACCATTTCTGTACTGGTATGATGGCATGATGTTGGTCCGGTGTGCTGTACCTTTAGCTTCGCTTTCTTTTCCACCACTGGTTTCAAACCATAAAACTCGCATCAGAAGGCAAGTCGGTTGACTTCCAGAAATGAGCGTCATGGTCGAAAAATGCTGTTTTCCCAACGGCTGTCCACCATTGTATTGTGGCCCAAATGTGTGTCAAGTTACATGTTTTGTCACTGCACAGGACAAGTGTGTGAAAGAGGCAAAGGGTGTGTGTTTGTGTTTGATTGAACCTCCACACACTTTCAGGTTTCACCAGTAAACTGTAAATTTGACCCTGAACATTTATGTAGTAATACTAGTACTGCTGTGCAGTACTGGCACATGTTTTGGGAACTGTACATTGAAGGGTACAGGGTGAAGTACAGGGTCAGGTGGTGGTTCTCCCTGGTCGTCCATGTTTGGGGCAGCCGTTTCTTGCTGGTCAGGTGACACCCCAGTAGAGTGTGTGATGTCACCAGTCAGTTCGTCTGTTCTTTATAATTATTTCTTCTTTATTGTTGATGCTGTGGGACACATGATTTGACTGTTTCCTTATTTTGGGCCACGCGGTTGAGGAGTGGTTGGTCTTTGGCCTTACAGCAAGAAGGTTGTTTGTTGGTGTTCGGGCCTATATCTCTATACGACGGACATTATTATTATTATTATTATTATTGTAAATCTTGATGTATGACACACATGTCAGTAGTTTTCTTTAGGGAATATTAACTAAAGAAGACAAGCCACACCATCCAAATCACAGTTTTGTTTTAAAGAACTGCAAAAGTATATAACATGCGCAAAGGAAAATAAAATATATTTTTAAAAATCTGCTTCAGCTCAAACAAGCATTTCCTCCTATTTAAAAACATCTATTGTTTTGTGAATACCAAAGTAAACAGACGTTACCACTATGTATGTGACAGTAAAGCGCCACCTACTGCACTAAGGAGATAACGCCTGGGGTTTTATTTAAACAAATAAAACAGGAAAAAACACAAACTTCAAATCTCTTCAGTCCATGTTGAACCCAGGAACAACTGTGATGTTTGTTGAAAGTCCAACCAGTGAGGAGACCAGGAACTCTTTGATCCTTTCATGTTAAACAGCATATAGAAGAGCCTTCACACGTACAAGCAGGCCTTTAGCTGCATCCAAAAAGTAGAGGAGGAAACAACAGGAGACAGTTGACAATGTAGACATCTAGAGAAGAAGACGATGCTCACCAACAGTTCTTTTAGATGACAGGGAATCAAACAAAGAGCCCAGTAGGAGGCAGCAATGCAACAATCCAGACACCACAACTCACTGCCCACTAGAAGAACATTACAGATGTTTGAGCAGGAGATCCCACTGGTACAGGACACTTACACTGGGTCTGGTCACTGACAGTTCAAACCTTAATCTTTCTAAGATGGAAAGTTTTACCTCTGTCCACCAAACCTGGATCCAGGTCATCGGTGTGAACCAGGATCCTTGGATGGAGACCCAAGCGCTTCACCAGGAGATCTGCCATCTCAAGGACCTGCTGACCAAGGAGAGGGAGAACTATTTTAGAGAGCACAACCTGAGCAGTCAGCTGAACAGAGAGCTCCAGGAAACCAAACAGCAGCTGAAATACCAGAAGGGTCTGAAGGAGATGATCATCCACAAGGAGAAGGAGAGCAGGAAGGAGCTGGAGAGTCTGCAGAAGTACGGCAACAAGGACATCATCAGCAGCATAAAGGTCCCAGCTCAGACGAAGAACGCCAAGAGGAGGAAGAAGAAAGATCTGCAGAAGGATTATGAAGAGCTGCAGGTTGTGCACATTGCCAGCCAAGAGAGGTTCCATGTTGAGATGCTGGAGGAGAAGAAAAAAAATGAGGTTCTCCAACAACAGCTGGTAGAACTCCGGGCGTCTTACCGGCAGCTCAGTGAGAAGTATCGAGCAGATATGGTCGCAGCCAAGCAGCAGGCTGAGCAGCTACAGCAGCAGCTCCAGAAGGAGATTCAGACGCACGAAGACATGGTGGCACAGGACAAGGTCCTGGTGCAAAGTCTGAGGGATGAGCAAGACGCCCTCCATCGGCAGATGGCAAAGGAGGTGCAGGTCCTGCAACAAAGGGCTGCTGAACAGGAGGCCATGTTGCGACAGGAGATAGAGGAGCTCCGTGGAGACGCCAAAGAGAAGGAGTGTCCGCCTGAACCCAAACAGATGGAGATGATGGAGACCACAAAAGCTTCAGTCTTTAGGAGGGTCCAGAACTTTCTGGGCCTGAGTAATCCACCGAGGTAAAAGATGTCAACCTGGGTCATGTTGACCTGCAGCAGCTGAGCAAATCCCTTCATCCCATCTTCATCCCTGTCACTCAGATCAGACATCAAGACATCAGTATCTATAGGAAACCAAACGGATTAATGCTAAATGCTTAAGTCTGTAGAAACATCAACCTGCTCTGATTTACTTTACTACCAGCCTGAGGTCGTGTTCTCAGTCTTGTTTTAGGGCTGGACTAAAATTAGTGCTGGACAAGGATTAAAACTTAAATTCACAATTAATTTTAATAAATAGTTTTGCCATTAATAATTATATTAATGTGTAGAAATAAATAGTGAATTTATGCTTAGTAGTCAACCTTAATTTAAAGTACTACGATAACAAAAAGATTTATTACGTCTATAATAAGAAGGTTCTTTTAACTCTGATTCCCTGGGAACAACAATGAGTACTGTATTTAAGTATTACTTCAAACTTGCAATAATCCATGATATCAAGCTTCAACTTCTCATTAGCGTCAATGATACAGTTAGAGAAAAATACACCCTATGACCTGTGCAAATGAGTGGATACTGCAGTACCAGAGTAATCAGTAGATACTACAGTACTGAGTAATCAATAGCTACTGCAGTGCTAGATTAATCAGTACATACTGCAGTAATAACTGTCAATGTCAGACAACTTGGACAACAGACTTTTGGTTGTGAGCAGTCTCTGATCTCTGATTGGTCGAAATACAAAATAAGGGGGTTTCTTTTAGGTGCGTTGCTGCAAACGTTAAACTTTTTTGCAACACAGTTCAATTAAATGCTTGTTTACATTTCAGTGTCAGCTGTAAATAATAATAATGTTAATTTTTATTTTGGTTTGCTTTCTTCCATAGAAATCAGTAAAAGACACAGAGTTCATACTGAAGGCCTGAGGCAAAGTGTAACATTTAATGAAAATATAACATATATAACATTTATAAAAAAAAAACCCTATAAAATGATATGATAAAAAAAAACAAATACTATGATATTGAACTGCTCGGGTATAAAATGTGACATCAGTGGACTTTAGAGACTCTCTTTGACACTAGTTTCCTTTTGGAAGTGTAGCTTAGTGCCTAATGCTAAGTAGGTTTTTTTAATAAATATGTTTTCATTTGAAATATACGAATGAAACAAATAGGACAAAGAGTAAGGCTCAAAGAGGATTGTTAAAGGATTTAAAAATGAGAGTAATAAAGAGCACCAAATGAAGCACGTGATTTTGTGTCTACGTTTATTTTCTCCTGTGTGTGTTGGAGGGGAGTGTCTTCACGACAGGTTTAACTGGTTGGACTGTTTCTGTGAAGTCCTGTGTAGTGGTGTGTTCACTGACCAGGGAAGTCCTATAGAGTCATTGACTCTGAGCACGGTCCCTCATTCTGGTAGCTTGTGGTGCACCATGTGGGCGGAGCTGCATCACTGGTACACACCAGTCAATAGTGACCTTTGTGTCATGTTGTATCAGGGTCTTGTTCCAGTGAATCAGGTCACATTTGACAGCTGACCCCGTCTCTGTGTTGACCTGGACCTTCTGACGTCCTTCTCCAACATTTACTGTCACTGCCACAGACACACAAGTCATTATTATATTATTATACACAGGATGTTACACTTTAATACATTTGAATGATATGAGGAATGTGTGTGTGTGTGTGTGTTGACTGGGTTGAATGATATGAGGAATGTGTGTGTGTTGTCTGGACCACACACCAGGTCCAAACAGAACACTTGAGCTCAGAGACTCTGAGGTGATTTGGTAAATATTTAAACATGTCTGACTTGGTTTAACCAGGACGTGTTTTGACGTCAAACACCTTCAGTCTCACCTCCAGTTACTGTGACATGATCTTATCAGCTGCAGGAAAACAACGCCCCCTGAACATGTCATTGTAAAACTACACTCACATATTTAGATGTAAGAAGCATGTAAGGATTACAAATGACTATAGTGCAATACCATACAAGTACAAGTACATACTGAACACAGTATGTACTTGTATGGTGGGACTTCATTATCTCTTTATCCATCCTTTCATGCGTGATGTGTATATGTGTGTGTGTGTCTTCTTCACAGTAACCTACTTACATCATCAGATCCACTGATGCACCATCAGTGTCAACTGAATCTATCGATTCCAGCTGTTGTTGTTGATCTGGTTCACATAGACCATCATCTGATCTATACAGTACCAGTGCACAGTACCATCATTGATCCAGTCCAACAGAGTTGGGTCATCTGTAGAATATAACCCTGCAAGTACACAACAAAGTCAACTTTCTTTAAATTATATTCATTCCATAAATACACACACACAAAAACAAAAAAAAATACTCACAAACCTCCAGGAGTTCAACTGAGGTTTTCTGAAACCAAACCATCTCAGACCAGCTGCCTAACTTGGTGACATGTTCTGAGGTGAGTGACAGTCCATTCTGAGACAACACTGGCAGCTGAAGAGAGTACTGCGAAGTACTACACCACATTACCATCCTGAGGATGGCTGAAGAGAGTACTGCGAAGTACTACATCACATGTGAACTCAAAGGGCAGTGATAGGAGGAGTGGAAACAGAAGCTGACAGTGATCTTCACATGGACATGAATAATACAGGATGGAAGTGTCACCAACAGTTCTGTGGGTCAAACTGATCAGAACTGGTTGGTGTCGAGGTTCTTCGCTGTAGTACTTCTGTGTAGAAATATTATTCTGTAGCTTGTACTTTCTTGTACGTACTGAACGTCTTCTCTGGTCAGAGGGATTTTAGTTTTCCTCCCCGTGGACTTCCTGTTCAGCTGCAGCGATCTCATCTGGGAGTCTCATCTTCAGCGCTAATCACTTGTGACCCGCCTGTGTGGATTTTCTTGTCTGGGTTGTTTTTTCCAAAACTCTCCATCACATCAGCAGCCGTCTCACAGAGACAGGACAGACACCGTCTCCTGACAACGGTACCAGACAGAAGTCTTCCACAGATGAAGTCTTTTTCTCTACTTAGAGGTTCAAACATCAGTTCTAAGGCTCCTCTCTGGTACTGTTGGCAGCCTTGGTCATCTCTCCTTAGTCGTGCGAGTGGTAGATGAAGTCTGGGGAAAAAAAGAAAAGGGTGGGGGGATCCTTCTCATGGGAACGAACTGGATTCGTGGGTGTAATCCCACTGATTTAAGGTCAACTCCTGATCACAATCATCCAGAGAAGATTAGCAGCAGGAGTCTGTGTTCGTAGCATCTGTCACAGTGTGATGATGTCACAGCAGCAGATCTAAAGATACTGCAGACGAACTTGTAGTCATTATTGTCTGGGCTCCTTGTTGCAGATAAGGAATCATGGGGAAAGCCTGTGTGAAGACAACCAAGTACTTCCTGTTTCTCTTCAACCTCATCTTCTCTGTAAGTGCTTGACTATACTACTGATACTTAAATATATTCTCTAAATGTATAAATATTGTTTTCCCGTATTGATTTTTTCACATGACGTGTGTTTGTGTTTATGTCCTGTTCAGCTGTTAGGAGTTGCTATACTGGGCTTTGGACTTTGGCTTCTCCTGGACAATCAAAGCTTCATCATCGTCCTCAGTGAGTTTTATGTCTAAAACATCCATCATCACTGCATCACTGTCACTGACAGTCAGTCTACGGCTGACGGTCTGACTACAGTCAGAACTGTAGACTGACATTGTTGACTTAAATTTAAAAAGAAACTCTCATGACTGAAACACACCAGCTCTATGAAGAGACATTTTCCCTCAGACTGTTGGACAATTTTATGGACATATAAATGTTAATAATTAGGAATGTACGCCGATATTATCATCCCAATATTAGCATATTATATAATATCTGTAAGAATTATTATTAGTTTTTCCTTTGATGACGAAAACCTGATAACGCATAGCCTGGGTTTCGCCAAATGATGTGTGGCCTAAAAATGATTTGGGGGTAAACGGCTGCATATTAAAGTGAAACTCACTAGATGGCAGCATTGCAGCTCATTTAATTAATCTCATACTCATACAGTGGTTTGTATTATATCGGTATTGGTTGATATCAGAATCGGAAATTAGGGGTTTGGTCAATATATCAGATATCAGCAAAAAGTTAATATCAGACATCCCTATTAATAATTTCATCATTTGGATTAGTCACAGATAAAAACAGGGGAGAAACACTGACCTCTACCTGTGGATATTGGTACTGTCTGTTCCAGAAAAAAAAGGTTTTCCTGATATTTAGGAATTAATCAAGATTAATCCAGACACATCAAGATAAATTAGCACCATTACCAGTTATGATTTAATGACTCTAACATCAAGCAAAGTCAATCTTAACAGGAAACCTTGATGTCAACACCTGGCAGTCATGACCAGACAGGTTTTTAGTAGTTTCTGCCGTAGTGTTAGTCAGAGTAAAACACCTCTGTCTCGGCTCAGTTTGCAGTTTTCACTTTGAGTTAAGAGTGATGTAAAGACACTGATGTCAACATTGATTATTGTCTGGCTCCTTTAATGACTCAGTCTCACGGCTCATCAGTATGAGCAGCGACAGGCTGATATCATCTAACATCTGCACCGGGCAGCTCACAGCTAGCACTGAGGAGAGACGAGCTGCTGTCGTCCAACCACAGCACAACGTGTCATTCATGACAGACAGTCAACAGAGCTGCTGTTACTGCGGCTCTCTGCTGCATCGTCATCCCTTCTCTCAAGGTCACTGTGACCACTCTGTGTTCACGTCTGTGTGGACGTGGGTGTGTGTGTGCACGTGCGGGGTGAGTAAGGCTGATGTGACACATGCTGATGCTGTGAAGAAGAGAAAGGCCCAGTGTCCCAGGACAGGACACCTGCAGGACATGACGGACAGACAAGTGTCCTCAGTGACACTTAATACATACACACACCCACAACGCTGTCTCAGTGATGGTCTATGTCCTCATCTGACCTCATCCATCGCCTCACTGTTTTTAAGTAAGGTTGGGAATTACTATTTAAAAATGTAACATAAAATACCACAGAATTAATTAGAGGCTTTTTGAAAAAGTATTCACATTTTAATTTTGTTTGGTGACTGATTGAACAGTCATTAAAGTGAACAAGAATGTTTGGTTGTTGTAGCTACTGTTAGCTCTGGTTATCTTCCAGTGATTAAAAAAAAAGAAAATTCCAGCTTTGTTAAATTTTCGTATGCTGGGTTGCCAAACTAGTTTTCTTTCTTTTACACTCACAGTGTTGTTGCGTCAGCCTGCAGCGCCTCATTCTCTTCCTTCTTCTCTCCAGACGACTCCACTGCTGTCAAAGTAACCTGCTACATTCTGATTAGTGTCGGGGCTTTCTCTATGCTCCTGGGATTCCTTGGCTGTTTGGGGGCCATTTATGAGGTTCGCTGTCTGCTAGGCCTGGTGAGTGACAAGGATTAAACCTGTGTGGTTTAGTGTGTAAACATAGGAACTCATTTTTATTGATAATTTAATCATTTAATCAACTGAATGTGTTCATATGAAAGTCACTTTTACTTCATGAAATTTTAAAGAAGAGGCCAAATATGCTGTTAAAAACTCTGTTAGCTGTGTAACAGGTTTAAAATAACGACTACAAACTAGAGGTAGAGAACATTCCTCCGTTGGAAACAGACGTAGAACCAGAAAAACATTCGTCCTGTTTGACAGAATATTTCACTTGATCCCACCTGTTCTGTCTTTTCTTCCTCAGTACTTCACCTGCCTCCTCCTCATCCTCCTCGCTGAAATTGCCACCGTTGGCCTCATCTACTTTCAGAAGGATGTGGTGAGTGACGTCACTTCCTCTTGGCTAGTCCTGCAGACACACACACACACACGCATAATTCTGATGGTTGTAAATTCTGGTTTCATGCAGTCAGAATCACCACAAGTTTTGATTTTACTGTTTGAAATAAAATGCTCAGAAATATTATTAATCACATTTCCTGAAACTATTTGCAATACATGCATATACATATGGGATGCCATATGTTCCCTGTTCTTCAGGGAGAACCTACTGAGTAACTCACCAACCACAGGATTTTCTCTGTGACAAAAAAGGGAAAAAACAAAAATAAAACCAGGAAATGTCTGATCAAAGTAAAGGTTCATGTCAAGAGAAGACAATTTTAGATTAAATTAAAACAAAGATCTGGATCTTTGTCACAAACAACAGGAATCCATGACAGTGTTTTACCGTGAGGAGCAGTGACATCCAGTGTTGAAGTATGGTAACAGCAGCATCATATAATGCTATAATATAATTATTGACTTCATGTGACGTCAGGTACTGAAACGTCTAGTCTTTCTCCCTCCTGCTTGTTTGGACCTGCTCTGTGTGAATCTCTACCAACGTCTCGATGGTTCTTCTAGTTCTTGTTTTTGGCAGTAGTCCTTGTTTTTCTATTTTTCCCAAGTTAAAGGGTTTTTTGTTTTTTAACAAGTTCCATCCCTAAACAAGTAGATCTGAAAGACAACAATGACGCAAATCCGGACTATAAGTCCGGGGTATTAGTCGCACCAGTGCCCTCTATCGGCTTTGTGTGTGAAAATAACTAACTCGTACATTTTCAGTAGTACAGGAGTAGTAGATACTGGTACACAAGCCCAGAGTGCCCTCTAGTGGCTGTCAGTGTGAAAATAACAAACTAAAAAAATTATTTAGTTTTATATATACAGTAAGTTGCAAACCCAGCCAAAGGATGGAAAAAAAGTGCGGCATATAGTCCGGAAAATACGGTAACATGACATAACCTCCATATAAGAGTTCATATGTTCAGGAAAATTGATCTCTCTGTCTAAAACTGTTAATATTGTAACTCCACTGGTTCAGGTCAGGGTCCTGGTGGTCTTACACCTGTTAGCCTACAGGTGCTGCAGCATCATTCTGACCCGTGACCTCAGCAGACACAAGTTCACACACGTGAGTTTGTGGGTCTGTTTTTCTTTCCCAGATAAACAAAGAAATGTCCAAGATGGTCACTAAGGTCCTGGACAACTACCCTGGCAACAACTCGGCCACGGAGCAGGCCTGGGACTTCATCCAGAGAAACGTGAGTCAGAGACACTGTTCTGGGATCAGAGTTGTTCTGTTAGCAGCAGTCCATATGGACTGGAGTGATGATGTGGCCCACTGCTGCTCCTCTGTCTGCAGATGGAGTGCTGCGGCTGGAGCAGCCCGCAGGACTGGAGCGGTAACATGATCATCGTCAACAGTTCTCAGCTGCTGTTCCCCTGCTCCTGTCAGAACGCTTCGCTCACTTCAGGAAATGTCTCTGACAGCGGCTTCTGTGAGGCGTCGTCGTCTGATTGGCCCGTTTATGACGTGGTAAACACTTAGATTATGTTTTGTTATTTTTGGAGTTTGCTAGTTCTCCCCCCACTTATTTCACCTTTGACCCTGTCTGTCTTTGATCAGGGCTGTGCTGCCACGGTGGAGAGCTGGCTCCTCACCAACGTCGGGGTGGTGCTGGGCATCTGCCTGGGCGTGGCCCTTGTTGAGGTACGCTAACGTTACGATCAGCTGATGGCAGTGTGTCCTGAACGAGACTCAGTCCTGTAGCAGCAGAATAGAAGTGTCCTCACTAATACCTGAGCACAAACTTAGTTTATTTACATTAGTTCCTGGAACTGTTTCTACTTCGATAATAACGATTTTTCTGGACGATATATTGTAACACAAATTATAGCCGATAAATGTTAATATTGTCAACATTATTTTAAGACCAAAAGCAGTCGGCGGTTGTGAAGCTTTAGCGCACACACTAGGCAAATTATCAAGGGCGGCAAAAATGATCGACTTATCGTCCTAGGGACTATCTGTGAGCTCTGATTCAATTCTCAGCATGTATCCAACTGTTCATCAAAGGTTTTGTCTGTCTGTGTTTCTGTTTCTGAGCAGCTCCTGGGGATGATCCTTTCCATCTGTCTGTGCAAGAACATCCGCAACGTGGACTACACCAAAGTGCCCAAGTACTGAAGCTGTTTGGTCGGACCGCGGTGGAGTCCACCCTGAACATCATGTCTAAATGTAAAATAATGATTTTACTCATAAATATTGTTCTTGTTTTTCCTTCTTTTTAATGCACTTGTGTCTGTTTATAGTTTTTTAAGCACTTTACAGACATTTATTTAGAACTGAGCAGGGAACCGACGTTTGAGATCAACCAACAGGAGGAGTGAGTGAGTGAAGGGAGGTGATGGTGATGGAGGGGCAGGAGGAGGAGGAGGAGGGGGAAATGTGATGCAGCGGTTCTTATTTAG